TGTTGAAACAAGATATCACAGTAAAACCTTGAGCATTTGAATGAACATGTTCACTATATTAACATGTGTGTGTGCGTGTGCGTGTGTGTGTGTGTGTGTGTGTGCGTGTGTGTGTGTGTGTGTCTCACTCCTGTTTCCCATGTGTCCCCAGCCGGTGATGTAACAGTAGGAATCAGGAAGAGGAAGTTGAGAAATGTCGGGGAGACAAACCGGCCGCACGAACTCCGTCTCATCGATCTGAGGAAATATAAAAAATTAGCTGTATATAATGTATATTTTCCACATGTAAATCTTTTGCTTTTTTAATGCTGTTTTATTTCTATTTTGAGACATTTTGGATTGTTTATTTCTTTTAATTTCTCTAATGTACAATGCCTTGTCTTTTTATGTTGCTGCAATGCAAACATTTATCACATTGCAATCAATAAAGTACTTCTTATCTTATCCAACATGTAGATACTAAGCTAATGGTTTCTCCTGATGATATTAATAATCATATTTAATATTTGTCTTAATGTACATTATTTTATTTAATATTCTGTTCTCGTACACATCATATTCTATTACCTGTAGACTTCTTGCAGTACTTTTTATTTGTGTATTGTATTATATTTGTTGCATTGTTGGAGGAACTCAGGTCAGAAGAATTTCATCACCATTTCTACACTGTAGCTTAGTGCATACGACAATATAACCTTTTTGTTTGAATATTTTAGAAGCTGGTTTCTGACCTCAGAGTCGAGCTGCACAACGCTGATATCGTAATCGACGACGGCCCGGTTGTATCGGGGGTGAACGACGATGGATTTCACTCCTCGAGTCTGGCTGTTTCCCCCGGGGTGATCCAGGTTATTCAGACCCAGAACCACCTTCCACAGATCAGCCCCCTCCCTCCTGAGTATATAAAACATTCAGAATATGATTATTAAATGTCCCAAACATTTTTGAAACATTTTCATTAATTTAGTTATTGCATTTGTCATTAAATGTGTACCTTAACACGTTTAAAAGCCATTTTAAATAGTAAAATAAAAAGGTAAAAAGTGTTTAAATGTTTAGGAATGAAGTCTTTAAAATTAAAATGAATTTCAAAATGTACAAAGATTACCATAAATCTTTCAAATAAAACATAACTTTTGCATAAATCAAATCCTTAACATTTGAAAATGTATTTTTTCCATTAATTTCATCCATAAAACTGGTCTTTAAATTGGATAACAATTTCAAAAAAAGTCCTTAAATTAAAAGTTAATTTGGAAAATGTCAAGAAAATTGTAATAATCAATTAAGTGCTGACAATGTAAAAAAATGTATGTTTTAATATCCATAAATGTATTCCCGAAAATGCCAAAAAATAGCCACATTTCCATAAATCTTATTCTTAAAATGTTGTAAAAAAAGTAAAAGATATCCATGAATGTTTTCTTAAAGTCCATAAAATGTCAAAAAAAAAATATTCCCAGAGTTAATAAGAAATGTTATTTTTAAGAACCAGAAGATATATCATTATTTTATTATATTTATATTATTTTCCTGCGATGTAAAACCATTCCTCACCCCTCGAAGCCCATAAACGTTTTCTTAAAGTTCATAAAAGGGAAAAAATAAGAATTTCCAGACTGAATAAGAAACAAAATATATTTTAGAAGTTATAATAATTGTATTATATTTAGTCCTCACCCCTCGAAGCAGTGAGCGACGGTTAGCGCCCAGCGGCGTCCAATCAGAACGCAGCCACAGACGTGTCCGCTCGGGCCGCTCTGCAGCGAGCACTGCCAAGGCCACGACCCCTTTCTGGAGACTCGACCTCCCAGAATCCTCTTCTGCCGGGAGACTACATCTCCCAGAATCCTCTTCTGCCGGAGGGGGGGCAGGCCGGCCGCCGGGCGATGCCCACATTCTGACAGAGAGAGACAGGAAGTTAATGTGTGCACTAAATTACACATTTAATGACTTTTTAAAACATGTAAAAGGAAAATATGACATTTATTGCAGTAAAATTGATCAAATCAATTAAATCTGCAATTAAATGACAGATTTACGTTAAATTAAATACATGAATAAAAACAGTAAATAAAGTTCACCTTCTCGGGAACAAAGCACTGACACTCTCCTCCGGGAATGACACGCATGACTGCCGGAAAAAGTGATGTTTATATAATAAAACAATTATAATAATGATAATTTAAATAGTAAGACAAAAATAAATTAATAATCTTTCAAATAAATAAAGACAATATTTTTGGCAAATAAAATACAAATATTATAAATAATAAAAAATTACTTTTAAATATGATAATAAAAAAGGAATAATACAAAATATTAACAATACAAAAAATCTCATGCAATTATTTGTATTTTTATAAATTAATAAA